GCATGAAACAAAAGAATTTTTCAAATTAATAGGAGGAAGGAAGTGGAAGTATTGTGGGATAGAGTTCATTTTGGGGATTCTTTGTGGGCTGCAATTTCCTCGTAGTTTCAGGATATAGCATTTTTCCTCATTCATGTGGATTGGAAGGTGGAGGTTTCTTGAACTCTCGTATGGTTAGCTTAGCTATTTTGTAATAATTGTACTTAGTTTATTAGGACCTTGTTTTCTGGTTTAGGGATCTTGTATGCAATCCAGTGGATAACTTGTGTCAATTATGTCTTGTACCTTCAATTACAGCCTATTATTAAAATCCTTGTTTCTCGTAAAAAAGGCATGGCACGTGGGCGGTTTTTTGGTACATTTTAATTGCCACATAAGTTTTTAGTCCATGCCTCACTACCATGCTACTTCATCTACTGTCTGCACGATTCTCTAGGGGGAGCTTATTCACATTTAATTTTTTGCTTAACAAGCCCAGAGCAGTTAACAAATTCCTTAACTTTTCCCTTTATACTCATTAATTTTAATTTTTTATTATTTATAATTCTTTCAAACTTCTTTTTCTTATTTATTTTGCTATCCATTTTGTCTTAATTATTGTTGTCTTTGCATTTGATGTGATCACTTGAGTTAGATTACCTTATTTTCAATATTGCAATTTCTTATGTACATCCTTTCTTCAGGCATGGTCCATGATTTCCAAGTTGACTGAGGAGAAGACCTCTGCTTTGCAACAAAGTCAGAAACTACGTCATGAAATGGTATTGTTTATGATATGCATTGTTGGTATTTGTCATTCTACTTCTGTGTTGTTTCTGGTAAACATCATGCCAATCTTGCTTTCGATTATCGAGTTAGGCTGCCAATAGTATTACCACCCTTTGAACTTGGTTAGCTGTCAATAGTTGTAGCAGAAACAGAAGAAAAGAGAGAGAAATTTTTTTGTTCTTTTGTTAACTGTTGTATTGTTTTATTCTTTGAACAGATGGGCGCTTGATGTATTTACTTCTCGTTTCTGTTTTTTTTTTCTCTTTTCCTTTTTGGCATAACACAAATTTTCATTGAGCAGGACCTGTTGAGAAAAGAACTAAGCAAAAACGGCGGGGGTGGATTTTCATTATTGTTTGTGGTGCTCTTTGGTCTTTTGGGCATCTTGGTTGGTTACTTCATCAAGAAAACATAGAAGCTGAAGTGAAGGCTGTTTGTCAATTAATTAGTTGGATTCCGGCATAATTCTGTGGTGCTCCACAATTTTCAACATTTTAGGGACTCTCGTACTCTTATTGTAAAAATTTAGTCTTTGATTAATTGACACTCTGTTTTGAGCAAATATTTTTTTGTTGTGTTAAAGTTGGACAGATGGGCTCAATGAACCCATGTAAACATAACATATGTTATTGGATTGGTTTATCATCATCAAGTCTTTTTCTCCAATGTTTGTTACTGTTTGGGTGTTCATTTGTTTGAATTATTTTAATTCTAGTGGAAATTAATTGACAAAATGATCTTATGGGCTGCCTTGGGCCGTAAGTCTTGAGGTGTTTCGATAATCACGAATAAAAGTTATACACATTTTGTTTGGTACTATTGACAGTCATAAGTCCTTAGGCAGATGCAAGTGTTGTAACATCAATAATACTATAATAACCAAATCCATGCTCCCAAGTCACCGAAAAAACCCTGTTGATAATGATTATCAATCAAATTACTAATGGTTCATAATCTTACTAATTTCCGGGGACATGGAAATTAGATAGATGTCGTGGGGGGTGTAGATGCTATGAACTTAGGTCGTAGTTGAACAAAGTGAAGAATAAATGTCACTAAATCGACTAAACTGCGGATTTACAAGAGATTATTAGAAATTGTGGCTAATCTTCCTTAACATGATACTATACATAATCTTCTTATTTTCAGAGATACAATCTTTCCCTACTGTAATTAATACAACAACAAACATAAAACACACATACATAATAATAAAAATCATAGATGAAGCAAAAGCAGTGATGGTTTTTAGGACTAGTTTGCCAGGTTGGGAGTTGTTGCTGTGGTTGCAGTTTCCACTATCCTTGGGCTTGAAGTTGACTCAATTTTCTTGTCATGGGCTTGTCGACAGATGCTATGAACTTAGGTCGTAGTTGAACAAAGTGAAGAATAAATGTCACTAAATCGACTAAACTGCGGATTTATAAGAGATTATTAGAAATTGTGGCTAATCTTCCTTAACATGATACTATACATAATCTTCTTATTTTCAGAGATACATCTTTCCCTACTGTAATTAATACAACAACAAACATAAAACACACATACATAATAATAAAAATCATAGATGAAGCAAAAGCAGTGATGGTTTTTAGGACTAGTTTGCCAGGTTGGGAGTTGTTGCTGTGGTTGCAGTTTCCACTATCCTTGGGCTTGAAGTTGACTCAATTTTCTTGTCATGGGCTTGTCGAGGACAAGACCAAGGCTTGCGACCTTCGTGATGATGATGATGATGATGATGACAACGTCTAGCAATAAAAGCTCTAGCCATGGCCCCCAACTGTTGGTGGCGCAAATCTCACGGCTTGGTGATCTGGGCCGAGGGGATGTGCGTTAACACGTGACTTCCTGCTTTTGGATGCGGTGCGGTTGTGCGCGGGCGTGCCAGCACGGTCTACCGTGCGTCGAGATGTTGATGTGGATAGAATGGTTAAGTGGTGCGCCTGTTTGAACTCGTCTTCTAATCAAACGATTGTAGCCGAGAGAGGAACTAATCTCGGCTGTCAGGTTCACGGCCTGAGCTACAAGGCTGTTTAGTGGTGGTGTTGATGGTGGGTTTTGGGCGGTGCTCTGGCGCGTTACTCAGCGAGCGACGGTCGTATGATATATGGGGTGAATGATCGAATAACAAGGATGGTGCTCCAGCGCCTTGAAAATCAAGGGTCGTATGATATATTGATGAATGAATTTTCCTTACAAACTAACACTACTCCTAGGAAAGTAAGTAAAATATTGAAGGTGCATTACAGGAAAATATAAGTTGCTCCGTGGGAGGCTTTGGTTTGGTGTTTGAACTGTTTGAATGTAGCTTGAGCCTTGTATTTATAGGAAGAGTTCCCGGAGGAGTAATCGAGGCTGAAAATCTGCATGGCGGAGCCTGATTAGAGCAAGTGGGTAGTCCAATCGACATTTGGGATCGTGAAGCATGGTGGTGGGACCCCATAAATCCTGGTGAATCTCGGCCGCCGCCCTAATCGTGGTTTCTGCGCAGATGGCCGTGGAGACGCATTTATTGCTCTGATAGCTGGTGACCTAATCTCTCAAGCTGTAAGAATCCTTGTGAGAATGTTTGCGTCTAATCACTCTGATTCCTATCACCAAATCCTGACTTCAGTCACTTCCCACCTCCCCTCGTGCATTAAATGCTTATTCATGGCCAGTGGGTTTGCTGTTTTAAACAGAGGCACTACTTCATTAAATGAAGCGTGGGACCCTGCTGTCACGTGATGACTTGACTTTAATACTTTTGGCCGTGATTTTGTTCGGGCTCGGCCTCGGCCTATAATCAAGGTCGAGATGATCATGCCTTAGCAATTTTTCTTTTGTTTTCAGGAAGGCCAAACATCTTGGCGAAACGCCGCGTTTTAGTTTCACGAGCAAGTGCTAGGGCCGAGAAAAGGGGCTCCTTCGGTCAGTTCATGGCCGTGATTTATTAGGCACAAACATTGCCCCCACATCCCCGGATTCTTCGGTCTCGGCATGGGTAGGGGCCGAATGGATTCCAGGGGATGGACCCTTTGCATTCCTTCTGAAGTGATTGTCAACTGGGGCATTAAATGCGGAGGTCAGTTGGCGCATTTAATGCTTCAAGCACATCGTGCATGCCATTATTGCCCAAGCTTACACGAGGCATCGCTTCGCCTCGTCAAGTGAAACGACGGCCTCTGGACTTTTGACACGTCATCGCGCTCTCGAGCACGCTGTCAGAACGTTACGTCTCTCGAGAGAGCCACGCCCTGTTTTTGAATTCTAGCTCGAGTATAAAAACCCTGCCGTTCTTCATTTTTCTTCATGCCTTCGAAAAATCCTTAAGTCCATGCCCTTCAAAAGTTCACTCTGACCTCCCCAGTTTTCTCAGCCTTCGTTCTCCAGTTCTGAAACCTTTCCATCGCTTAGTGACCTTTCTTCTTGCCTTAAACACTCTTGAGCCTTTCTTTGATCCCTGGGCTTCATCCTTCTTAATTTCAACCTGCTCTAATGGCCCTTACTGTAGCCCTTCCAAAGCCAGGGAGCCACATCTGCTGAATCTCACGACTTGGCAGTTTGGCCTGGTCTAGATGGCTCCTCCTCTCCTGCTGTCCACCAATCGCTTTTCGTCCTGGAAAATCGACGTGAGCCAAAACCAAGATGCGGCCGAGGTTCCTTCCCAGCCTTGGAGGGAGATGACCTCCCTCCCTGTGAGGCCGAGGAGGAACTGCAATGCGACTGATAAAGATGGTAATGCCTGGTATGATGACCCCAACATGGCCGTGTTTATTCGGCTGAGTGCCCTGGTCGCATCCATGGCCGGAGTGACGGCCCTTACCATGGCCAGAATGACGGCCCCTACCATGGCTAGAATGACGGCCGCTTACCATGGCCAGAGTGACGACCCTTCCTTCTCTCGGCTGTATCTGCACTCAAGGTAACGGCCTCGGCCATGGCCTTAGTGAAGCCTTGGCTTTAGGTTGGCCGTGGTCGGTGACGATATGGGTGGCGGAGACACTGCCTCGGGGAGAAACGTCTGCTTGTCCAGCGAGGAGACCGTGAAGCCGTTGTTTGTAGATTTAGGGTGTAATTTTTCTCATGTGTATTTGCAATCGGCCATGACCTGGCCGTTTCCTTGTAAACGTGACCCCTTTTTAAACTAAATGAAGTATGATTTTCTTCTTTCCTTCTGTCTGAAAGCACGCTTTTTCTTCCACCTTCTTTGCGCTGTTTACTTCAATTTTTTTTTTTGCCAACTGCAATTCTCATAACTCTTTCTCGGCCGTCTCCCATAATGACGGGGCATATTTCTTTAAATACTGGCCGTTTATTGGCAAATTGTGCCATTCTCCATCCCTATCTCTTAACTGAAATGCACCTCGGCCAAGAATTCGTTCAATAATAAACGGGCCTTCCCAATTGGGTGAGAATTTGCCGAACCGAGGGTCCTTCGTCCCGATAGGGAGCACGGCTCGCCACACTAAATCGCCTTCGGCGAAAGTCTTCTGTTTGACCCTTCTGTTATAGGCCCTCGCCGCAATCTGCTTCTGTGCTTGCATTAGGTTATAAGCATCGAGCATGGATTGCTCCAAATCTTCTAACTCCTGAGCCATGGCCTGCATATAGTCCTTCCTTTCTTGTCCAGGCTGTTCGGTCACACGTAGAGACAGAACCTTTAACTCTATTGGAACGATGGCGTCATGACCGTAGGTTAAGTCGTAAGGAGACGTGCCCGTGGCCGATCGTTTTGAGATTCGGTAAGCCCAAAGGGCTTCGGGGAGTAAGTCGTGCCATGCCCTAGGTTTCTCCTCGATCATTTTCTCAAGGATGCCCTAGATTACCTTGTTGCTCGCCTCGGCCTGTCCGTTAGACTGGGGGTAGTAAGGTGTTGAGTGGAGCAATTTGATCCCCATCCTTTCGGTGTACTCCCGAGTCTCGGTCGATGCGAAAACTGGGCCGTTATCGGCCGTGATAGTTTTTGGGATACCGAATCTGTGGACGATGTGATTCTCAAAGAATCTGACCACTTGTGTGCCAGAAATTGACCGATAGGACTCCGCATCGACCCACTTAGTAAAATAGTCGGTTGCCACCAAAATCCATGCATGTTGGTTGGACGCGGCCGGATAGATTTTGCCGATGATATCCACGGCCCACCCTATGAACGGCCATGATTTAGTGACCGGGTGGAGGGCTTCGGCCGGTACCCTTTGTATGGGGCCGTAGATTTGACACTTGATACATCCCTTCGTATATTCTATGCAGTCCTTTAAAATGGTCGGCCAGTAATAGCCGTGCCTCCGAACCAGCCATCTCATCTTGACACCAGACTGGTGAGCGCCGCAAATCCCCTCATGAGATTCGGTCATGATGACCTTGATATCTTCGGCGCTGGGACATAAGAGCAATAAGCCGTCTGATCCCTTTCGATACAGCTCGTTCTGATAAATCAGATAACACCGAGCCCGGAAACGTGTAGTCCTCTCATGGCTGCCGGAAGGGTCACGCAAATACTTCACTATGGGGTAGCGCCAGTCGGCTTTGGCCGTGTTGACCCCGTCGGTAATCTCGGCTGAAGATACTTGCGCTGCCATTCCTCGTTCGGCCAAAGCTGGCAGGGTACGCCTCTCGATTCTTATTACGCGGTCGTGGTCGTCGTCTGGAATACTCATACTTGACGCCACCTGGGCCATCTCATTGGCCTCATGGTTTTCGGCGCGTGGCACATGAACAAAGGAAATCCTGGAGAAATCGTCGGCCGTATTGAGGGCCGTTATATAATACATGGTTAGATTCTCGCTCGTGCACTGGTATTCCCCGGTCAGTTGGTTAATTACTAGCTGAGAATCACCGTAGACCAAAACACGGGTTGCCTTCATTTCTTTCAGGATTTCGAGAC